ACCTGTTTGGACCACTATACCCAGCTTGTGTGTTAAGATCAGTCTTGCTAACTTTTTGTCTGTGCTGCCCTCCAACCAGGATTCTCCAGATCTCCAACTCCTAAGTAGCTGGGATTACAGACATGTACCACCACACTCAGCTTTGACAAAATTTTTAACATAACTTTTTTCTTTTTTTTGTTGACGGAACTGGTATTTGAACTCAGGGCTTCATCCTTGCAAAGCTGGCACACCTTTGCTCGAGCCACTTTGCCAGTCCATTAACATAACTCTTATTGAAGTGCAACATACACAAAGAAAAATATACAAATCATAAGTATAATGTGAATTTTTATAAACTAAACCACCTCTCATAACCAGCATTTATGTTAAGAATTAGGACATCATTCAGATCTAATAACACCTAGTTGGACTTCTCTGTTGTTACTGCCCACACCAAGGGTAATCATTTCCTTGACTTTTTTTTTCTTGTGGTACTGGAATTTGAACTCAGGACCTCATGCTTGCTAGGCAGTTGCTCTACCACTTGAGCTACTCCACCAGTCTCCCTGATTTTAGTAACATAAATTCTTATACCTTGTACATGGTGGTTTATGCCTGTAATCCAGCACTCAGGAGACTGAGGCTATAAGCCAGCTTAAGCAACATAGCAAGACGCTGTCTAAAAAAATATGCCTCCTTGTGAAAAATGAAGTCATATAGTACATATTCTACTAGTGTTCTTGCTCACTTTAATATTGCTCGTGAGCTTTATTGATGTTAATGCATATAATCATAGTTCAAACAGATTCTTAAGGAAAACTGAAAATTGAGTCATAATTGTGGGGCATAAGTACATTTAAAAATATTTAAAACCAGAAGCCTATTCATTTTTATATTTTAAATAGTATGCCTATCATAGTGGTGTACACCTGTAATATTAGTACTTGAGATAATGGCAGAATGATACAGAGTGTGTGTGTGTGTGTTGTATGTCATTATCAAAAAAGCCAGTTTCCCCTTAGGTAAAATTTAGGTCCAGTCCAGAAGAAGAGATACCTTTTATTTTGTGTTAATACTCCAGTATAGGTGCCACATGTAAAGGAAATATTTTAAAAATTGAATCATGTACAATAGAAAGACCCTGACATGGTGGCACATGCTTTAATCCCAGTACTCTGGAGGCTGAAGCAGGAGGATCACAAGTTCAAGGCCAGTCTGGGCTACATAATAAGATCTCAAAAGGAAGGAAGAGAGGAAGAGATTGAGGGAGGGGGAGGAAAATTATTTGAGACAAAAAATGTGGCAGAGCTCAGGTGTATGAAAAGTTACTGGGAAAAGGAGGAATTAGACTTACTATATGTGATTTGACAAAATGAGACTGGAACTAGTAGTTTTTAGAAAGAACTTTCTTTTTCCTTTTGGATGGAACCCAGTGCCTCGCGAATGCTAGGCAAGTGCTATTACCAGTGAACTGTAGCCCCAACAGAGAACTAACTTTCCTTCCTGCTTCCCTCCCTCTCTTCCTCTCTGTATCCCTTTTTTTTGAGACAGAGTCTCACTTTTAGCCCAGGCTGACCTCAAACTCCAGACTCACGACCCTCATTCCTCACCCTCTGGTGTTTTGGGATTGCAGACAGGCATATACCACAATGCCCAACAGAGCCTTTTTCTTCCCTTTTAGTGTCTGAGAGCTTTCTTCTTTATGTTTTTTGACTGCATGATCGATTTGGGTTTTTTAAAATTACATCTTAACTACATGATGGCGAACTTTCTTTTTTAATGAACACATTTCATTGAGGGAAAAACTAGTAAGTGAAAAGTGATAGAGTGAAGAGAATCTATCACCAGGATCTTTTTTTCTGTTTCCTATCTAATTCTTGGAAACAGTCAGTTCTACCAAGAACTCTACTCGACTTTATGAAAAATGATATTTAGAGACCATAGTCTTGAGTATTAGTGGTATTTATTGCTAGTAGACTGTCAGGATTTTTAGGTATTTCTTTGAATAGAGCTGGAGAGAAAGAAGAATATATGCTCACATATTTCTAATACCAACTTAAAATTATAGGGCTTTTACTTCTTTGACTATATTCTTATCTTTTTTTCTTACTTCACATATTTTGGTTCCTAATGACATTCTCATGATTACTTAATCTGTTACCTACCAGATATCTATTTAACTTTAAAATAATTACATCAGTATTATCACATTGTCATGCTCTCTGGCTGAAATTTAAGAGTTCATTTTTATTTTATTTTTCGGCAGTACTAGGGTTTGAATTTGGGGCCTTGTGCTTTCTCACTAGGCACTCTTACACTTATGCTATGCCCCATCCCTTTTTGCTTTAGTTAGTTTTAAAATAGAGTCTTACATTTATGTCTGGGTTGGCCTGGACTGTGATCCTTGTGTTTATACTTCCTTACATAGCTTGGAACCACATCCAGGAATTGGTAGAGATAGGGGTCTCAAGAACTTTTTGCCCAGGCTGGCCTCTAACTGATCCTCCTGATCTCTGCCTCCCAAGTAGATAGGATTATAGGCATGAGCCACTGTGCCTTGCTCATTTAAGTTTTCTTCATGAGTAATCTTTTGGGATTCAGGTTATAATCCAAATACAATGTTTTAAAGTAATTCAAAATAATTACTTTGTATGTAGCTATTTTATTATAGTTAATTCATTATATAATTCATTGATTCAACATGTAGGTAGATGTATTTGCTTCTGTTTTACATATTTAGAAAATTGGGATTTTTTTTCTGCATAATTTTGTTTTTTAACACTTCTAGAAGTAAAAGTCATAAAACAGGTACATGGAGGTCTAGTTTCTAATTGGATTTTCTTCTGCATAGCATGTATTTCATTAAAATTTTGGGTTTTTTCTTCCATCTTTTAGTCAGCCATGTATAGTCATATCCTCTATTCCCATTTTCTTATGTGGTCTATCTTGCTTTTTCCATATAAACAAGATATCCTAGAGATCACTCCATAGTAGTATGTTGGTGGATTCCTTCCTCTCTCCCTCCCTTCCTTTCCTCATTCCGTTCTTTCTTCAGTTTCTTAGTGCTCTTTTGTACAGATGGGCCTTGGCTAGTTCAGTCTTTCTTTTGTACATAATCATTTGGATTGTTTCATAGTTTTGCTATTAAAATAATGTTGCATTTTATAGCCTTGCGGGCATACTTTTGCCAGTGTATCTTGGAATAAACTTTTGAAGTAGGATTCCCTGATTCAAAATGTATGATTAAATGCATATGGAATCTTTGTAGTTATTATGAAATTTCCTCCCATAAAAATTAAAACATTTTATTGCAGTATGCTGTACATTTTCACAGGTTTCAGTTTGGTTTGGGGTCTTCTAACCTGCTCCATTGATTCTTTTGTCTTTTCATGTGTCTGTCATGAAACCATAGGTATATTTTAGTGACAGGCTTTAAAAACTATTTGGTGCCGTTTTCCCCCACTTTTCTTTTGGCTTTCTCTAACTATTCTTGCTTTCTGTTTTTCCTAGAGAAAATTATACTCAGTAGTCCTAATTCCTGAGAGAAATCTGGTGTTACTTCTATTGAAGTAGTGCTAAATTTATAAATCTGGTTAGGGAATCTTGTCATCTTTATGTCTTCCCAATCCACAAACACAACCTGACTTAACATTTTTTAAAGTTTTTCAAGAGTACTTAATAGTTGGGAAAAACTATTGAGTAGTTATCCCTATGTTGTGTGAAGTGGTGAATTCAGTAGAGGACTCACAAGTTAGATAGCTATTTACAGTAAATGACTTAAGAGTTATTTCCAACTCTAACAGTTATACAAAACACATTTTAAAGAAAATAAGATTTTCTACGTTCTTTTTTCTTGTCCTCCAACATTAAGAGAGAACTTGATTGCTCACTTATGACAATAATTGAGAATGAGTTAAAAAAAAGAAGTAGGTCAGGGATTGTCCTGTATTTGTTTGGAATCATTAAAGTCAATGAAGGAGATAGGCAATGAACTATTATTGTGAAAGTGGACCATATTTAAAAATGTTTCTGTAGGTAAAAATATTTCTCTTTTCACAAACTACTTGTATATGCTTAATGTGTACTTAGGTAGTTAAAAGTAACTTGAAAGTGGAGAATATTAATTTGATTAAAACAATGTTAAAAAATATACAGACATTTCTAATCACAGAAATATATAGACATATGATTAAAGATCACAAAGATAATGTCTTTTTTTTTTTTCATTTTTCTTTTATTATTCATATGTGCATACGAGGCTTGGTTCATTTCTCCCCCCTGCCCCCACCCCCTCCCTTACCACCCACTCCACCCCCTTCCGCTCCCCCCCTCAATACCCCGCAGAAACTATTTTGCCCTTATCTCTAATTTTGTTGTAGAGAGAGTATAAGCAATAATAGGAAGGAACAAGGGGTTTTGCTGGTTGAGATAAGGATAGCTATACAGGGCATTGACTCACATTGATTTCCTGTGCGTGGGTGTTACCTTCTAGGTTAATTCTTTTTGATCTCACCTTTTCTCTAGTTCCTGGTCCCCTTTTCCTGTTGGCCTCAGTTGCTTTAAGGTATCTGCTTTAGTTTCTCTGCATTAAGGGCAACAAATGCTAGCTAGTTTTTTAGGTGTCTTACCTATCCTCACCCCTCCCTTGTGTGCTCTCGCTTTTATCCTGTGCTCATAGTCCAATCCCCTTGTTGTGTTTGCCCTTGATCTAATGTCCACATATGAGGGAGAACATACGATTTTTGGTCTTTTGAGCCAGGCTAACCTCACTCAGAATGATGTTCTCCAATTCCATCTATTTACCAGCGAATGATAACGTCTTGATAGCTTCTGACAGAGCAGCAGATGAACGAATGTACAGTGGTAACATTGGTCCAACGTTAGTTTTTAAAACGTTCTGTGCTTATATCAGCTTTATAGCTGGTATATGATCAATTAGTTCATTGGGTTGTAGTGCTAATTTGAAATGATATAAGGTTTACTCTCTCTCTGAAACTTTTTTCTTATTCAAATTTTAGGAGCCTTCAAAGTTTTACAAGAAAGCAGGTGATGTTGCAGCCATTGAATGCCAATCAGAAGAAAGCATGCATCTTCATTCACAGGGAGAAAACAATCATTTGTCTAAGAAACTTTCTCCAGTACACTCAGAAATGGGAGACTACATTAATGCAACACCATCTACTCTTGTTGGTAACCGGGATCCTGATATAAAGGATAGAGCATTACTTAATGGAGGAAATAGTGTAACAGAAAAGTTGGCACAGCTCATTGCTACTTGTCCTCCTTCCAAGTCTTCCAAGACAAAACTGAAGAAGTTAGGAACTGGCACTACAGCAGGTTTGGTTAGCAAAGATTTGATCAGGAAAGCAGGTGTTGGCTCTGTTGCTGGAATAATTCATAAGGACTTAATAAAAAAGCCAGCTATCAGCACAACAGTCGGATTGGTAACTAAAGATCCTGGAAAAAAGCCTGTGTTTAATGCAGCAGTAGGATTGGTCAATAAGGATTCTGTGAAAAAACTGGGAACTGGCACTACAGCGGTATTCATTAATAAAGACTTAGGCAAAAAGCCAGGGGCTATCACTACGGTAGGACTGCTAAGCAAAGATTCAGGAAAGAAGCTAGGACTTGGTATTGTTCCAGGTTTAGTGAATAAGGAGTCTGGCAAGAAATTAGGACTTGGCACTGTGGTTGGACTGGTTAATAAGGACTTGGGAAGGAAATTGGGTTCTACTGTTGGCCTAGTGGCCAAGGATTGTGCAAAGAAGATTGTAGCAAGTTCAGCAATGGGTTTGGTTAGTAAGGACATTGGAAAGAAACTAGTGAGTTGTCCTGTGGCAGGACTGGTCAGTAAAGATGCCATCAACCTTAAATCTGAAGCACTGCTCTCTACTCAGGAACCACTGAAGGCTTCTTGCAGTACAAACACCAATGATCATGAAAATCAAGAACTTTCTGAATCACTGAAAGACAGTGCTACCAGCAAAACTTTTGAGAAGAATGTTATACGGCAGAATAAAGAAAGCATATTGGAAAAGTTCTCAGTCCGAAAAGAAATCATTAATTTAGAGAAAGAACTATATAATGAAGGAACATGCATTCAGCAAGACAGTTTCTCACCCAGTGAAAGGGGCTCTTTTGAAACCTCAAAGCATGAAAAGCAACCTCCCGTATATTGCACTTCTCCAGACTTTCAAATGGGAGGTGCTTCTGATGCATCTACAGCTAAATCCCCTTTTAGTGCAGTAGGAGAAAGCAGTCTCCCTTCCCCATCACCTACTGTACCTATTAATCCTTTAACCAGAAGTCCCCCTGAAACTTCTTCACAGTTGGCTCCTAATCCGTTACTTTTAAGTCCTACCACAGAGCTAATGGAAGAAATTTCTGAATCTGTTGGAAACAACCAGTTTACTTCTGAAAGTACCCACTTGAATGTCAGCCATAGGTCAATGGGTCACAGCATAAGTATTGAGTGTAAAGGGATTGATAAAGAGATAAGTGATTCAAAAACTACCCACATAGATATTCCAAGAATAAGCTCTTCCCTGGGAAAAAAGCCAAGTTTGACTTCTGAATCCAGTATTCATACGATTACTCCATCAGTTGTTAACTTCACTAGTTTATTTAGTAACAAACCTTTTTTAAAGCTTGGTGCAGTTACTGCATCAGACAAACACTGCCAAGTTGCTGAAAGCCTAAGTACTAGTTTGCAGTCCAAACCATTAAAAAAAAGAAAAGGAAGAAAACCTCGATGGACTAAAGTGGTGGCAAGAAGCACATGCCGGTCTCCAAAAGGGCTAGAATTAGAAAGATCAGAGCTCTTTAAAAATGTTTCGTGTAGCTCACTATCAAATAGTAATTCTGAGCCCACCAAGTTTATGAAAAATATTGGATCATCTTCATTTGTTGATCATGACTTCCTTAAACGACGATTGCCAAAGTTGAGTAAATCCACAGCTCCCTCTCTTGCTCTCTTAACTGATAGTGAAAAACCATCTCATAAGTCTTTTGCTACTCACAAACTATCCTCTAGTATGTGTGTCTCTAGTGACCTTTTGTCAGATATTTATAAGCCCAAAAGAGGAAGACCTAAATCTAAGGAAATGCCTCAACTAGAAGGTCCACCTAAACGGACTTTAAAAATCCCTGCCTCCAAAGTTTTTTCCTTACAGTCTAAGGAAGAACAAGAACCCCCAATTTTACAGCCAGAAATTGAAATTCCTTCCTTCAAACAAAGTTTGTCTGTATCTCCTTTTCCAAAAAAGAGAGGCAGACCTAAGAGGCAAATGCGGTCACCAGTCAAGATGAAGCCACCTGTACTGTCAGTGGCTCCATTTGTTGCCACAGAAAGTCCAAGCAAGCTGGAGTCTGAAAGTGAAAACCATAGAAGTAGCAGTGATTTCTTCGAGAGTGAGGATCAACTTCAGGATCCAGATGACTTGGATGATAGTCATAGGCCAAGTGTCTGTAGTATGAGTGACCTTGAGATGGAACCAGATAAAACAATTACCAAGAGAAACAATGGACAACTGATGAAAACAATTATTCGCAAAATAAATAAAATGAAGACTTTAAAGAGAAAGAAACTGTTAAATCAGATTCTTTCAAGTTCTGTAGAACCAAGTAATAAAGGGAAAGTGCAATCCAAACTCCATAACACGGTATCAAGTCTTGCTGCCACATTTGGCTCTAAATTGGGCCAGCAGATTAATGTCAGCAAAAAAGGAACCATTTACATAGGAAAGAGAAGGGGTCGCAAACCAAAAACTGTCTTAAATGGCATTCTTTCTGGTAGCCCTACCAGCCTTGCTGTTCTTGAGCAAACAGCTCAGCAGGCAGCCGGGTCAGCATTAGGACAGATCCTTCCCCCTTTATTGCCTTCATCTGCTAGTAGTTCTGAGCTTCTTCCATCACCTATTTGCTCTCAGTCTTCTGGGACTAGTGGAGGTCAGAGCCCTGTGAGTAGTGATGCAGGCTTTGTTGAACCCAGTTCGGTGCCATATTTGCATTTGCATTCCAGACAGAGCAGTATGATTCAGACTCTTGCAATGAAGAAGGCTTCAAAGGGGAGGAGGCGGTTATCTCCTCCTACTTTGTTGCCAAATTCTCCTTCGCACTTGAGTGAACTCACATCTCTGAAAGAAGCCACTCCTTCCCCCATTAGTGAGTCTCATAGTGATGAGACCATTCCCTCTGATAGTGGCATTGGAACAGATAACAACAGCACATCAGATAGGGCAGAGAAATTTTGTGGACAAAAAAAGAGGAGGCATTCTTTTGAACATGTTTCTCTCATTCCTCCTGAAACCTCTACAGTCCTAAACAGTCTTAAAGAAAAACATAAACACAAATGTAAGCGCAGGAGTCATGATTACCTCAGCTATGACAAGCTGAAAAGGCAGAAACGAAAACGGAAAAAGAAATATCCCCAACTTCGAAATAGACAGGATCCAGACTTCATTGCAGAGCTGGAAGAACTAATAAGCCGTCTTAGTGAAATTCGGATAACCCATCGAAGTCATCATTTTATCCCCCGAGACCTTCTGCCAACTATCTTTCGAATCAACTTTAATAGTTTCTACACACATCCTTCTTTTCCCTTAGACCCTTTGCACTACATTAGAAAACCAGACTTGAAAAAGAAAAGAGGAAGACCCCCTAAGATGAGGGAGGCAATGGCTGAAATGCCTTTTATGCACAGCCTTAGTTTTCCTCTTTCTAGTACTGGATTCTATCCCTCTTATGGCATGCCTTATTCTCCTTCACCTCTTACAGCTGCTCCCATAGGATTAGGTTACTATGGAAGGTATCCCCCCACTCTTTATCCACCTCCTCCATCTCCTTCTTTCACCACTCCTCTTCCACCTCCTTCCTATATGCATGCTGGTCATTTACTTCTCAATCCCACCAAATACCATAAGAAAAAGCATAAATTACTTAGACAGGAGGCCTTTCTTACAACCAGCAGGACTCCTCTCCTTTCTATGAGTACCTACCCCAGTGTACCTCCTGAGATGGCCTATGGTTGGATGGTGGAGCACAAACACAGGCACCGTCACAAACACAGAGAACACCGTTCTTCTGAACAACCCCAAGTTTCCATGGACACTGGCTCTTCCAGATCTGTCCTGGAATCTTTGAAGCGCTATCGGTTTGGAAAGGATACTGTTGGAGAGCGATACAAGCATAAGGAAAAGCACAGGTGTCACATGTCCTGCCCTCATCTCTCTTCTTCAAAGAGCTTAATAAACAGAGAAGAACAGTGGGTCCACCGAGAGCCTTCAGAATCTAGTCCATTAGCCTTGGGATTGCAAACACCTTTACAAATTGACTGTTCAGAAAGTTCTCCAAGTTTATCTCTTGGAGGATTCACTCCCAACTCTGAGCCAGCTAGCAGTGATGAACATACGAACCTTTTCACAAGTGCAATAGGCAGCTGCAGAGTTTCAAACCCTAACTCCAGTGGCCGGAAGAAATTAACTGACAGCCCTGGACTCTTTTCTGCACAAGACACTTCACTAAATCGGCCTCACAGAAAGGAACCACTGCCTTCCAGCGAAAGGGCAATACAGACTTTGACAGGTAAGAGGGTTGCTTTGTTGTCTTTTTTGTGTTATAGTAGTAGATTATTTTCCTACTGGTTGCCTGATTCATGTTGAACTTTTTAATAGGTCTACCTCTTATTTTTGTTTTTGTAAATACACTTTGAAATCTTTAAAGTTATTTTTCTTAGACTTAAGTAGTAGGATAGGGAATGTCTTTGTATTAATTTTATGTTTTGAAAAGAGGTATCATTGTCAAAGCAACAACAAAAAAACACAACTTTTTGAAACCAGGAAAAATGAGTTCTTTCCTGTACAAAAAGGCTGTACACAATGTCTTCACTGAGAAATGGCTTGGATATCTGTTAGTAATACATAGAATTTTTAATATATACTAATATAGTTGTTATGAATGCTTTTTGTTAGAGGAAAAATGTTACTGTGTGTGTATCATAATAAAAATCCCAGGATGGAACATTTTTCAGCGTTTTAAAATTCAAAGAAATGTCATTTTCCAGAGTACTTTTAGGTATCTTCATAAAAGCTGCTTCAAATAGATATAAAAAGACATGAAACATATCTAGATAATTCATTTGTAACATGTAAAAATACGTCTTTTGAGAAATGAGAAGATGGAAAACTAGAAAAAGAAAGCATTGCCCATTTCAACAAAAGATTTCTCAGAGTTAGCAATTATTAGAAATCTCAACTCTTGCTGAGTGCTACTGGCTTATGCCTATAAACCTACCTACTTGGGAGGCTGATACCATGAGGATTGTGGTTCAAGGCCAGCCTAGGCAAATAGTTCGTGAGGCCCCATCTCCAAAATAACCAGAGAAAACTGAACTGGAAGTGTGGTTCAAGCGGTAGAGTTCCTGCTTTGCAAGGGTGAAGCCCTGAGTTCAAACCTCAGTTCCAGCAAAAATAAATAAGTAACTCTTAAATGTTTATAGATTAACTTTAGTAAGTCCATAAATTGTCTGGTGTTATAAGTAAAATTATAAATCTGTATGCTTGTATGTATTTTTCTAGAGAAAATCCATACATTTCATCAGATTCTTCAAGTAAACTCTAAACCTCAGTATCCTCTCTTATTTAAGTATTATAAGAAGGAAATGGTACTGTAGTGCTCAGCACATTGATTTGTACATAATAAGTACACAGATGTTTCTATTATTACTCCTTTAAAAGATTAAAACTTGTGCAGTAGGGAAAAAATTAATTCCTCAGTGATAAGCAGTTTCATTCTGATTTTCTTTACTCAAGGACTTTTCAAAAAATTATCTTAGTGGAGAAGCTGAGGGCTCTTTAGTCCTGAACATTGTAAAGAGAAAATTATCCTATACTTTAATTAGGTTTATTTGAATTTTTTTTTCTTAAAAATATTGAATATCTGGTATTTGCCAGGTGTTCTACCTTGTGGGCTTTTGTTAGGAACAAAGTTGCATGAGTTCATTGTTACCTGGAAATTTTAGTGGAGGAGATCGTTAGCAAGCAAAAACTCACATTACATCTCATCAAAATTGTGATTAAGAGTATAAAAGAGAGGTTACAGTATTCTGTGACTGGAGGGGCCTAAATCAGAGAAGACTTCCTTGAGAAAGTAAATCTAAACCTAGGACCTGAAGGATGAGCAGTAGTGAGCTCAGTAAACAGAATTCCACTCATTCATTCACTGGACTCATTTGCTTATTCACTTACTGATTTCCAAAAACATCAGCCCTTTTTTAGTCACTGAAATATATTAGAGAATAAAGACCCAATATCTGACCTCGTTTACTTTCACTATTGTGAGGGTAGACAAATAATAGAGTGGTAAGCAAATAAATAATGACATAATCAAGGAAATGCTGTGAAGTAACATAACAGAGTTAATAAAAAGGGAGAATAAAGGACAGGGGAAAGGGAGTCTAATTGCATAGAGTTGTTAGTTACAGGCTGAGGATAAAAAGTTGGGACTTGAGAATTATAAGCAAGAGACAAAAGTATGTTTGAAGATCCTGAACTGGGAAGGAACTTAAACAATCTGAAAAAAGCCTCCCTTGGTAGGAGAGGGAATACACAAGAGAATGGTGAGAAATATGGCAAAACAAAGATGCCAGACCACATATTAAGAATTTTCTATTTTACAATAAGAGCAAAAGACAGAAGAATATTGAGTTTAGGTTTACATTTTCAAAAGATCACATTGGCTTTTATGTGAACCCTGAATTGGAGGGGACAAAAGTAATGATAAGGAAACTAATTTGTGGGGAATTGTAGAAGTCTAGGTAAGTCAATGGCAGTAAGATCAGGTTGATAGCAATATGTATGGACATTTGGGAGACTGGTGGTAGAATGAGTCACTGAGACAAAGCAGGCTGGAGGAAGAACAGTGTTTTTGTTCTGCATTACTGGGGATTAAACACAGAACCTGCAAGTGCTCTTCCCCTGAGCTATATTCCCTTCCTGTCCCAGCCCTCATAAATTGAAGTGCCTTATTGAGATTGAAGTGGAGATACTGACAAGGCAGTTGGGTATCTAATTCTGGGGTTTACGAAAGAAATTTGGGTTGGAGGTCAGAGCATTTCATTATGAGTTTTCAAAAGTTTTGTTTAACAGTGTCATTTGCTAAAAATAAAAGGGTTACTGGGTAAAATAGAGGTGGGGGCAAACTCAAAACCTATGTAGCATTGTAACCAGAGCAGCAAGTTAAGTATTATTTTAGCAATATAAACAGTTTTTAAAAAACATTAGCCAGACTTGCACACCCATGCTTATTGCAGCACTACTCACAATAGCCAAGTTATGGAAACAGCCAAGATGCCCCACTACTGACGAGTGGATTAAGAAAATGTGGTATTTATATGCAATGGAATTTTATGCAGCCATGAAGAAGAATGAAATGTTATCATTTGCAGGTAAATGGATGGAACTAGAGAACATAATTCTGAGTGAGGTTAGCCTGGCCCCAAAGACCAAAAATCATATGTTCTCCCTCACATGCGGACATTAGATCAAGGGTAAACACAACAAGGGGAATGGACTTCGATCACATGATAAAGCAAGAGCACATTTGGGAGTTATGAGGATAAATAAGACATGCAAAAAACTAGATAGCATTTGTTGCCCTCAATGCAGAGAAACTAATGCAGATACTTTAAAGCGGCAGAGGCCAATAAGAGAAGGGAACCAGGAACTAGAGAAAAGATTAGTTCGAGAAGAATTAATTTAGGAAATTGGCATGTATAGGAAAGCAATGCGTGTCAACTCCCTGTGTAGCTATCCTTATCTCAACTAGCAAAAACCCTTGGTCTTTCCTATTATTGCTTATACTCTCTCTTCAACAAAATTAGAGATAAGGGCAAAATAGTTTCTGCCTCGTAGCAAGGGGGTAAGAGGGGAGAGGGAGGAGGGCCTGGGGGTAAGGGAGGGGGCGGGAGGAAGGTCGGAGAAATGACCCAAACATTGTATGCACATATTAAAAAAAAAAAAGCATTAGCCAGGTACAGTGGCTCACGCCATAACTCTTAACTACTCAGGAAGTAGAGTTTGGGAGAATTGTGGTTTGAGGCCAGCCTAAACAAAAATGCAAGACCCATATTCAAAACACAACTAAAGCAAAATGGGCTGGAGGCAAAGCTTAATTGGCACATTGCCTACTAGCAAGCACAAGGTCCTGAGTTCAAACCCCAGTCCTTGGGGGGGGGGAGACTTGTTAAATTGTTTAAAAATGAAAGAAATAGCTCGGTATGTTGGTATGTAAATGTAATGCCAGCACTGGGGAGGCTGAGGCATAAGGATTAGAAGTGCGAGTCAGCCTGGGCTTTCTCTAAAGAAACATAAATGTTAACTTTTTAGGAAAAGTTGTAGTTTGATGGCAAGCAGTGTGCAGGCAGGGATTAAAGCTGCTTAAGCGTAGATATAAAATGATGTCATTGGCAGCTACATGTAAGGGTACCAGAGATAGCTGGTTCCAGATTGTTGACCTTGTTTGTTTCTTTTGTACAAAGATTGGGGTAAACTGCACAATAAACATTTGTAGGGAGAACATGGGATAAGTGGGCATTTTGAACGGAACTGCATGGCTCCATGGCTTTCTGCATTTAGCTCATATTAATATATGTTCAGCTGCTAATTTGGGGTTGGAAAACAGTTGGGTACTTCAAAAAATCATGTATCATCCAACACAACTTCCATGTTATCCTGGTATTACTCTTTACTTATCAGAGATACATGAGTTATGTCACTGTACAGAAATACATACAATGACAAAACATACTGTGTACATGTATGAATCACATATGTATGGTAATGAGAGTAATGACATTTCCCTAGAGAGAGAATATAAGAGAAAGAGAAACGAGTTTTAGCTTTGAGGAACTGCATTTTTTATAGTAGTAATTAGTAACAACTGTCCACCGGTGGCTTATATATTACTTTTTGCGTGATCTCTATAGAGTTTTGTTGGTTTGGTTTGGTTTGGTTTGGTTTGATTTGGTTTTTCTTTGAGACATAGTCACACTAGGTAGTGCAGGTTGCCCTCAAACTCACTATGCAGCCCAGCCTAGCCTTACACTCACAGTCCTTCTACCTCAGCCTCCCAAGTATTCTCTATAGTTTTTTTAATTTTTAATTGCTAAAATTTAAAAATCTGGACATTTTAATTTAGAATCCTGCTTATCAAAAACAATCAGAACATCTGGCAACAATCAACCTATATTTCCTGTACAGGGCAAAACCCCCTTTTATTGGTGACTGCTTTGTTGTGTTTGCCAGTACTCAGTTTTCTGTCATGTTTTGTATATGGCCTTTTTCAGCTGTTTAAGCAGGTAATGATTGAATTCGAAGTCCCTAACTTAAGAGCTGTGAGAAGAAGTTTATAAAGGATAGGAAAATTAAAATGAAGGTGATGTGCAGTGACAGGTTAGGTTGAATGTATCATCTGTTTATACATTGAAATCACCCAAGAAGGCTGCACATAGTGGTACACATCTGTAGTCCCAGCTACTCAGGAGTTGTAGATAGGAGGATTGTGGTTTAAGGCATCCTGGGCAAAAG